ATCTTACGCAACCAACGGTTTTTCTTTGCGCGCAAAGTCCGGCTGCGGCAGTTGGTTCCACACACCAAACCACCATCTCGAGCCCTCTCCAACCCATACTTGTGTCAGGCAACATTATACTGCTCTGTCCCATTCTGATGGTTCGGCCTGCAGATGCGTAGGAAGCGCAGCACCAGCACCAGTAGCAGTTCTGGCGGAAGCGTTGCGGCGTGCGGAAGAGAATCGAAGCGAAAACATGTGTCGCGCCGTGGTCATCGAAGCTCCAGCACCAATGCGAACAACAAGGGAGGAGGCAGCAGGGGCCAATCCGAAGGAGGCAAACGTGTGCATAAATCGAAAAATCAATGCCGGACATCTACCCGAGGCAGGTCAGGCACCAGTAATCGTAACAGCAGCAGCAGGTCAAGCCGCCGCCGCCGCAGCAGCAGCAGCAGCAGGAGCAGGAGCAGCAGCAGCAGCAGATATAGCAGCAGCAGCAGATTTAGCAGCAGAAGCAGGAAACGAAACTTGCGGGAGCGGCGGCGGACGGGGGAGGCAGAGAGGGCCCTTCGTTCCGATAGCAGGCCGAGGAGGGGGGGGAAGCGAGACAGGACGAACAAGAAGAGCGTGAAGAGAAAGAGGATAAAACACAAGAAGACATCAGGTGATGTACCAAACTCCAGAAGGTGTCGTTGCCACAGGATGTCATGTAATGTTACAGCTGACGAGCTGCTTCGGTCCGCTTTTGGCGGCTGGCCAGTGCCTAAAACCACCAACGCTCCAATCCAGTCACACTTAAAGGTGCCAGATAGAGACGTGGACACCAAGATCCACGTGAGATACGTCTGACAGGGCATGCCTTGTCTTGGTGTATCAAACAACACGATTGAAAATGTGGAATCCAGGCTTGGGCCAAATTTGCATGTCATCCGAGCTGCCGTGTCGGTGTAATTTGTTGCTGTTGTCACGTGGTATGCGCTACTGCAGCTCTTGAAGCGCCGTTTGAAGTACTTGGGGTTTGTTTCCTGACCATGTATGAAACGTCTTGTTGCCCCCGCCGCCTGAATGATAGGACGAGTTTTGACACTCATCACTTCGTTTTCAATGTTGCGACATTGAGAGTGAACCACCAGGGGTTTCCGAGGTTTTTATGCGCACGCTGTTGCCGTGTAGTGTTCTGGTCGCACGCGGAGAAAAGGAGCGTCACACGCCATTTCATTGTTGCTTCAAGGTAGTTCTTAAGTTTGTCTTGTTAGGTACCAGACTGCAAACTCTCGGGAAAACAGCAAGTTCTTCTACTCACCCCACCAAGCAGAAATCTCCCACGACAAATGTAGAACAACGCGGCGTGGTTGGCACCCTCCACCAGCTGAACTGCCACAAGTTAGCCAGCATGGTTTGTTCATCGTTGTCGTGAGGGCTAAACTCTCGCCGTGCGTAATTATCCTGCCGCTTCGCGCGAAGCAGGTGACCGGGCTTCACCGTCGCCGCCACTGCCGATGACGCCGCCCAGCGATGGCATGGACGCCGAAAGGGAACGGATGGGAGGCAGACGTCGGGACAAAAAGTCTAGCAAGAAGAAGAAAAAGAAGAAGGGCGAGAAAAAGGGCAAGAAACCTAAGCGGAAGCAAACGCCTGTTGCACAGACGGCAAGGTCCCCCACTCCTACAAACACCGCCGCTGGTACTGCCGCCGCCACGGCTGCCTCCTGTGACTGCCCCGAGAAGAGAAGGAACGAGGCAAAAGATGGACCCAACATCGACTACCGGCAGAGTACGGCAACCGGTGGCTGCCTTCCCTCTTCTCGTAATAACTCCGCACAGGCGCAAGACCCGGCAAACGCCACCACCGGTGATGCCGAAAGACCGGAAGATAAGGAAACCAAGGCGGCGAGGGCAAGGGCTATGGTACCCATGCGGCCGGAGGAGTATGCTGCACAGCAGAGGACAGTACGGCAGGTGGGTTCGTGGGAGGGAGAGAGAGACATAAGGACTGGGGGGGGGGGGGGGAAGGAAGGATCGCTCAGTCGAAGGCTGTGTTCAGGCGTTCACGAGGAGCGAAAAGGGAAGGGGCCTAATGTGGCTTCCCTCTCAAGACTTGTCAGATTTTTTCTCTCCGCTATCGATGTTGATTGTTTTGGCATAAAGTGCCCTGCTCACGCAGGGCTGCCTCCAATCCGAGGTCCGCTTTCCTTTGAACGTGCATGGTTGGTTACGACGAAGTGTTCCAAATCAACCGGCACAAGACATCCTTGCGTTGCGCGAACAGTCGGCGCGCGGCTTTTTTTGCCGAGGCTTTTGCCGAACTACCTGCGGGATTTGCCAAGACTCTATTATAGTGGTCATTGTGCTTCTTAACACTTCGCACACCCATCCACTTTTCTGCAACGTCGGTTTTGGCCTATGTGTCAAGTTCTGCTACCATGCAACCATGGCCACCGGCCGTCCAGTGCATGCATCAGCACCAATCGCAGCGGTATGTAGAGAGGGGTTGCAGTGCTCCATGCGGTTGAAGCAAATTGTGAACAATTTCATCGACGGAGAGCGAAAAAAAAAGGTTGCTGGTGTGTAGGAAAAGTTACTTCAGTAGAGTGTCGTCAGTTGAGACACACCCGACGCGTACCTTAACATTGGAGTGTACCGCACACGGTTCGCCATAGCTTTATAGAGCACGGCCTACACTGCATGTAAGAATTAGATGCAGGGAGGAGTGCTTCGTCGCAATATGATTGCTTGTGGAAGGCTGGTGAGATGGACATAACGGGCCTCTCAAGGTGCACGCGAGGTGCAAAAGCCGAACGACAGTACAACAACAAGGCTGCCGATGGTGAACGGATGTGCTGGTAGCGCTTTCGATGCTCGTTTTCGGGAGCTGCTCTGTGTATAGGCGTGCTCGCCGTGCTCACCACCAGCGTTGCCGAGATTTGCGAGGCATCCCTATTCTGTCCAAGGGCCGCGAGCCTCGTCGTGACAGCGGTGTTTGACCTCAGAGAATTAAGCCGCGGCGAAGACAAAAAGGCAGAGACACTGAAAAGACTTCAAAAGGATGCTGGTGTGGGCAGAAGCAAGACACAATGCTAATGCTTGCGTTTGGCACCGGTGTCGCTTCGATTGAAATTCCTTGGACAGGGCCCTCGAGGCGTAGGTCGCGCGAAGGCACCGCGATTTCGTGCTCGTAACTTTCGTGAGTTGGGAGAAATCGGTCACGGTAAAGTAAACGCTTCCAAAAAAACGCGGACAAGATTTATTTAGGTTCTTTCGTTTCCGCAGCAGAAACCAATCCTACTCGGATTGGAACAACACACGCCGCTAATGCGTGTTCACACCAACATTTTGTCCCGGAAACAGGTTTTCGACGAAGACACTGGGCGGTGGAGGCTAGTGAAGGGCACAGGAGAAATAATCGAGCGGATAGTCTCACGCCAGGAGCAGCAGGAAATCCAGCGGCACGCCTCCAGATGGGGTTGGGACCACAAGACTCTCTCAAGGGACCCCGTGGGAGAATGAATATCAAACGCGCGCTTGCTTCAGAGGTTGCGTCTACACGGAATAAATCACCTTACCCTCGACACCCCTGGATGAAGGTCTTTTCGTTTGCAGTTACGTTGAATTTTACTGTCAAGAAGTAAAACGATAGAGAATCCTCGGGTCGTAGCACAGACGTTTGCAGACCTCTGTCACGAAGATCACCCGCACCGCTCTACTCGGGGGCTCAACAATGAGTTGGCGGTACGACTAGAATGGTGCAATATTGCATGTGTCCAACGAGTGCAGCAATGGCGGGAGTTTTGCACCTTCGGCTGCCTCGCCATCTCCAGCTCCGACTTGCCCACTTGTTCCGGTCACGCTACGGCCTCGCCTCGTTCGAGCAACTACATACCGCTATCGCAGGTCATTGGTGAACCAAGGACAGCACTTGATCCAAACTCAATAAAGGTGGCCTGCCTGACAAAGTCGCAACTCCGAAGAACGCACCACCCTTCCAAGTAGGATCGGTCTCTCCTCCACGAGATGTACCAACAAAGTCGTTGCTCTAGGGCCAAGGGAGACGGCCATAGAGCGCCGCGACCGCTGTTACATTCGACTACCACGCACGAATTGCTCAAATTAGCCGGAACACAGCCTTATGGCTACAGACCGGTAAATTACATGCAAAAAAAGCCTCCTCAACAAGGACACAAAACACAAATCCCGGGTTGCGACTTGCAATCAACCTGCAGTCCGGTCGTGTCGATCACCTACAAAAAACGTGAGCACGGGATACATCAGCCTTGCTCGGAATAATCTACGCAGCAAAATGCACCCTTCTACGGTTGAAACCCTGAATCGAGAAAGATACGCGACAGCTGGCAAAGCCGAAGACACGGGCACAAGGCACGCAAGCGGTTGAAGGCGGGCGGGACCCGGACCTTGGGTGCGCTGGTGCTCCATACAAAGCCAACTACATGCACTTAGAGAAGTCTTGGTTTGCTGTACACGTGCCGAATCACGACGAATTGACTCCAACCCGTCCAACCGAGACTGCTGTCAACTCTCCCAAACGTCAATGGATGGGAGTTGGGCGCACCCTCATCGCCAAGCACGCACACTGTCATACGCTTTCCATGTCTTGTCTACACTTTAAAATCTACCATTCCTGGCACAAACTACCCACGCATGGCTTCCATCCACAGCGGGCTTCAGTTTACGGACGAAGGACAAACCGTGAGCAACCAAACGACCCAGCACCGTCAAACTCAGGCGCAACGACTTGACTGAGGGAAATGACGGAGAACTTCGCTGGAGGCAATACTAGAACAAACACTAGTCAAAATACACTATATACATCCCAGTCACACGCAAAACGTTCGGCACACAAGATACAATATCACGTTCTATGGGCAAACCCAAACCCGGCGTCCCTCATCACTGCGATGCTGCACCTGCCCCGGCGACACTCTTCACAAGGGTTAACGCCGCCCGAGCGCATTCGCATATTAGTGGCAAAACCCTTAGCCGTCGTGCAAACTGGTACAGACGCTCTCAGTCAACCATCACCTCCTCGTCGTCGTCGTCGCCACCCGCACCTGGTACTGGCTGGGCGACTGCAACAGCTCCGACCTTCTCCCAGCGCGCCAACAAGTCTACCGGCGGACCGCCAAGCGATCCTGCGGGAGCAGGAGCACGAGCAGGAGCAGGAGCACGAGCAGGAGCAGGAGCAGGAGCAGGAGCAGCCGGCATCGTAGCCGGCGCGTTGGACGGGGCCGACCAGCCCACTCCACCCGCGGCAGCTGGCGGCCACATTGAAAGCAAAGCATTGTGGTACGCAGCAGCCGAGTCTGCATTGAGCCCCCCGTATGTGCCATGCATGTAAGGTCTGGGGTGCATGGTGGGCAGGGCACCAACCGCCGCAGCAGCAGCAGCGGTCGCAGCAGCAGCAGCAGCCGTCGCAGCAGCACCACTGGCTTCAGCAGCAGGGTAGTGAGGCGCTGCTGTGGCCGGGGCCGACGACAAAACAGCAGCTCGCAGAGACGCGTGTGGCGGTAGAGCGGGCGGTAGACCAGGTATAAATGCATGTTGCCACCCGACCAGAGCGCCAGCACCGTAGCAAGGCCGGCGGGTAGCAGCGGCAGCAGCAGCAGAAGCAGCAGCAGCAGCAACGAGCGGCGAGGCGTAGGCGGCTGACGCACGAGAAGCAGCGGTCGTCGCGAGCAGTGAATGATGGGTAGCCGGCGCAGGAGGAGCAGAAGCAACCACCAGCGGTGGAGGATGAGCGACTGGACCAACACGCGCTCCTGTACCACACGCAGACGGGGGCTTGATGACGTCAGTTCCTTTCTCGACGGCACCCCCCCTCTCCTTGCTGCTGGTGTCGGCATTGTTGTTTGGGGGCTTGATGATGTCAGCTCCGTTCTCCAGGGTACCCGCCCTCTCCTTGCTGCTTCTGCTGGCAATGGTGTTTGCGCTAATGATATTGTCTCTGCTGACGTCACTTGGAGCACCCTCCGTACGCGGGTTTGACGGCGCGTTTAACCAAGCAGTCACCCAACGCTGAGCGCGTTTGAGCCCGACCATCGCCTTGGCATGCATCAGCAACGAGTCACCCGAGCGCGAGAACGGGTACCCGCCCAAAAGGTTACCCACAACCGCTGGTGGTGGTTCCTGGGAAGATGGCAGTACAACCACCTGCGCCGTTTCTACCGCCTCGAGGTGCCGCCTCATCGCCCACGCCGCTTTCTTGGTCTTCTTGCCTTTCTTGCTGCTTTGGGCCTCCGCGAGTGCTGCAGCAGCCGCCGCCGCCACAGCCTCGGCCTCTTCTTTCTCTCGTATCGATAGCGCCGCCGCCCTGTCTTGCTTGCGTTTCGAACGCGCCAGATACGCCAGAGCATGGGCGTAGGCAGCGGCCCCCTCCTTGTCCCGGATGGACACTGCTGCCGGATCCGTGTTGTCTCCAACCGCACAGTGACCTTTCTTGGCATCCAAATCCAAGGTGTCCACACACACTTCATCCTTGCCAGGCGAAAACTGCGCGTTGTCATGGCTATCACCGCCCGACGGTATCACTGGGTTTCCAACAGTTGGTGTGGATGCCGCCGACTTCGAAGGGCTTGCCTTCGACGCGGCGTCTGCCATCAAACCCGCGAGACTCCGTACGAAAGTCGCAACCTCGTGGCTGGCGCCACCCCTTAGGGTCTCGGCAACCAGAAGTGCCCGGACGGAAGCCCTCACCGACCCATCCGGCGGCGATGTCCCGAGGAGCACGGCCAATGAACCGGAGCACTTCTCCACGTGGCCTACCGGTATATCCTGTTTGACGTTAAAGAACAGACGACACCAAGCCAGTCCAAGGTTTTGTTAGATCGGAAGGCAACAAGCAGGCACGACGCTCGATAGGTCATTACTGAAGGCACCTTGATGAATTGGAGTTCCGGAGTTACCGGATTCATAGATTTGACGAAGACCACACGAAACGGGAGCCTGCAAAAAAAAAACTACTTCTACCTTACCCCCGATTCTCTCCACCAGCCCTCCCCAACAGAGCATGCCAGTATCAATTGAAATCTTGATGAAAATATCTGCAATGGTTACTATTCTTACCCAATGCTGGCAGAGCAAACCCCGCGTGCATCCACTGCAGCGATTAGATTGCGTGATTACCCTAATGCTGCTCTTCAGTCGGGTGGTTGTCCATGATCCCTATTCAAGACTGTAACAGTCATCCTTGCCGCTATGACATGCAAAAATCGGCGGCAGAAGAGAAAAGCTACGCCGAAAAATAACACGCGAAGCCGAATGCTTCGATACCAGGCAGCAGCTGAACAAGGAACACACCGAGCACAACAACAGGCACCGCCGACCACGGGGGCACCCAGTTGCGCTGAACCCGTCCCGTCAGACCACGGAGAGTACTGCACACTACCAGGCGGAGATAGAAAACCACTACCAGGCGCAGGTTGATCGATCCCTCGGTACCCGCCTCCAGTTTTCACCGCAACATCGCTGCAAGACTCTCTAGATATCGCCTCGAGTTTTCAGCGCAACATCGCTGCAAGACTCTCTAGATGTGCCATACAAGCGCACAACAACCCCAGTACCGCACGCACCTGAATAGCTCGGAGTCGCCCGAGCCATTTCCGGAACGCCGCGTCTTCCCCGAGGTCAACCGCCTCTCCGGCGTCTACCCTTGCCCGGCGTACTTCCCTCAGCGCTCGAGGCGGTTTTGTCGGAATCTCCGCCGACGCTGATGCCGCCCCGACTGGCGATCTCGCGGCACTCCCATCGCCCTGCCGTGTTTCCCCCAGCTCCGCCACACACCCCTGTGCGTGCCCATCGATGTGCTCAAGCTTGCCTTGCTTTCCAGGCTTTCTCGAGTGGCTGGACCCTCCTTCCGCGAAAGAGGCGCACGATGGTGACAGCGACGGTTTCCTGTCGATTGTGGGATCGAGGCTCGCAGACGAGCCCCCCCCTTCGGCTTCCGCTTCGCGATAGAACGGTCCCAGACCCCACGGCTGACCACCGAAACCCAGATCTGGCCATACACAGCGGCGGCCTGGACCTGAAGACACGGCGGTAGCCGTAGCCGTGGGATCATTGGCGCTGCCACCGCCACCTCCGACTGATTTAGCAGCGTAGGATGAAGCAGCGCCTTGAGACGCTGGCGGGCGCGGGAGGACTCGAGAGGAGGAAGTCTTCAGGCGCTGCTCACGAGCAACCCGCGATCGCTCTGCGGCGGCAACAGCCTCTTCGAAATTTTTCTGTGCCTCCTCGGTCTCCTTGGCGAAAGTCCGGGCGAGTACCACTGCCCGCCGGTTCGATATCACGTGGTGGTCGGGAACTTCTCTCTGGACGACGACAGGCGGGGGGATAACTGTGGGCTTGATGGACAAGCCCATTCTGGGCTTTTTCTTTGTCACCTTCTTATCACTATGGTGCTTGGTTTTGCTGCTGGTAGTACCGCCACCACTGCTTCTCCCGGTGGAGCTCCCATTGCCAAGCGCTTCAGCTTTACTAGATTTGCCGCCGGCGCTCTTCAGCTGACTTGAGCCGTTGCTCCGGATGTCGGGTTCCCCTGCTTTCTTGCCCCCCGCTTTGCTTTTCGAGCCTGTTTCGCACCCCCCGACCGCCCGCATCTTGCCCGTTTTCGTCTTACTTTTTCGACTTGGGGAGGAGATTTTTACCGCCGCCTCCTTGGCCCCGTTCGCGATTTTCTCCCCGCTGCGGTGCTTCTTGCTGATAAATGCTACCGTCTTCCCGTCCTTCTTCCGGTTCCCGGTGGCGTTCGCGTTTGTCCCGTCGCCCGCTGTCTTGGTCTTGGCTTTCGTGGGGCCCGCCTTGTTCTCCCCGCCGGCCGTTCCAGTCTTGCCGTCACCGAGCTTCTTGTCGCTGTCCTTTTTACTCCTGGCCTTCTCGATGCCATCACCGTCGCCCCCTTTCTTCGCACGCTTTCCACTGGATCTGCCGCCGGTTTTTTCGCTACCGCCGCCGCCGGGCACGGCCTTTCTTTTCTTTCCAGCAGGGCCGCCGGAAGGGCCGGTGACATGGCCGGCAGAAGGGTTCATGGCCAATTGAGTGAGTTCGATCTGCTTCTTCGCCTGGGCAAAATAAGGTAGGGTGCAGAGGGGGTTGCTTTAGGCAAGGGCATGGTGGAAAACGGATCGGGTGGCTAGAGCCCACGGATGAGGTACGGGATCACCCGCGTATCATTCAGGTGGTTGGAAGAGCAAATTCACTTAATCTGTGAAGTACATGTAATATAAGTAATGTACCCTGGACCCATTGTTTACCTAGAGCCTCCGCAACAATCTCACCTCGGTCGCAGAGAGGAATCTCTCCGAGCGGACGTCGATCCACTCGTCTAGTTTCGCCTTCCGGCCTTTGTAGTGAAGACGTGCTTGTCCGGCCTCGATCGCCGTCACCACTCCCGTCAACACCACCGCTACCCCGTCCGACACGAGCACCTCTTTCCCGATCAATCTCGGCCCAATGCGAGCCCGTTTTAACGCTCCCGGTACAGCAGACTCGACGGCGGACGCTCGCACTGCCTCAATCGGTGTCGCGCGGGCTCCTGCGGATGCCTTCTTCGTCGATGACCAAGCACCGCCGCCGCCTCCACCACTCTCGGACGTGCGCACCCTCTTCCTCGCTTTCAACTCTTCACCTTTGACGACGGTCTTCTTTTTCGGCCCGGCATTGTTTTTCGACCCGCTGTGATTCTCGCGGGTGCCGCCGCCGGCAGAATTCTGGGCGCTGCTAACTCCTCCGCTGCTACTGCTGTTGCCGCTTCCACCACCGCCACCGCCGCCGGCTGCGCCGCTGTTACCACCGCCGCTAGTCTTTCCTGTGCGTCGCGGAGCTGCCGCCGCCGCTCCCCCGCCGCTTGGCCCCGCCGCCACAGACATAGCCGCCACTTCTTCTTTCTCTTGCATGCACATCCAGCAAACGGGGCGATACACTACCGTCGTTGGGGGAGAAGTAGTGCTTTCGGCCGCTGTTACTGCTGCTGCTGCTGCTGCTGCTGCTGCTGCTGCTGCTGCTGCTGCTACTACTGTTGCTGTTGCTGTTAGGTCTGCAGCAATACCAGCACCGTTATCAGCAGCGTTGCCGGCGCTGCGTATTGGGTCCAGCTTGCCCACTCCTGCGAAGGTCTCGGGCAATTCGATCCGCGCGGGCGTGCCGTCCCTCTCTTGTTCATTGCAGGCGGCAGTCGCTCCCGGCCCGTTGCTGCTGCCACACTCCGCCCTCGTCGCGTAGGAGCCCGTGCCAGGTTCCGGGATAGCGTACTGCAACGGGACGACATACTCCAAACAAGTTTTGTGTCCCCACACTCCGCACCGCGGACACGGCGCGATGTCTTCCTCATCGGGCCATGCTGGGACCGCGGTGGCGGCGGAAGAGGAGGAAGAGGAGGAAGAGGGGGGTGTTTCGGGGGGCGCTACGACAAAACTGCCGTCCTCCGCCCACTGCACCCGCCGCACGGAGCGGACGTGACTGCACACGCAGTGGAACACCTGGACATTCATGTCCACCTCTTCCCTCCACTCGCTCTCGCTATCTTCGTCGGAGTCGTCTTCGTCATCATCGTGCCCCTGGCTCCCGCTGCCGCCCGCCCGGGAAGCCCCTGCTGCTACTGTTGTTGCTAATGCTTCGGGTGCTGGTGCTGGTGCAGCTGGTTGTGTTGTTGAACGCGCGTCGGCCGGGGTACTCGAGCTGTCCTGTTCGGCAGCGCGGCCCGCCGAAGCCAGCGCAACCGTTGCGGGGGTCTCGGCTAGCCCGTTGAGACAGGTGGACTCCTTGCCTGCAGTTCTCCTGCACAGCAAGAGGAGAGAAACAACGGCAAAACCATGACAAATAGACGCAAAGCGTTTCAACGTTTGGGGAAAAGGTTAGCCGTTCAAGTATTTGCTGTATGACCAAAGTCTTACCTAGGCACTAAGTCGAAAACACACCAGCATCCTAACCACAGACAAAAGTTCAACCGTTGGCTATGCAAGTTGAGGATGCGGGCATCTCGCCAATGAGTGAGAAGCAGCGTTACAGAGTCCACCGCCAGCGGCACTCAGCAGCAGCGGCCGCCAGCGATCTCGAACCACCTATGGAAGAAGGTGCCGCGGCACCAAGACAGCAAAGTAAACACATTTGCACGAAGAAAAGGCGTCATGCTCTGCGCAAACGCACCTGTGCTGGCGAACGAGGGTCTCGAACCGGTCGACGTCTATGCGCACGCTGTGTGGGCTGCAGCGGCAGTACCCCGCCCCACGACCTTGACTTATCCAGCGGTCAATGGCGAAGTTTGTCGACTCGGCCAAGTTAAAGCCGTGGTTGAAACCGCCATGATAAGAACCGGGAAAGGTTATTCATGAACTCCCCAGCTTCCTGAGGGCCCAGAGGGGCGCGAAGGGGGGGGGGGGGGTGTCGTGCATGCCGTAGTCGTTAGACCATTGACCTCGCATCCCTACAAAGCCGGGACGGAGCACGCCGGGTTCTCACCGGACCAGGCTCTCACATCACCAAGCGCGAAGCGCCGTGAGGTATTCGGCGAGTCGCATGAAGGGTGAGCTGCATCCTCCTAAGGGTGTTCGGCATCTTGTGCTTACTTCCTTGCATACGAATGACAGCTGCGTATGACTTAATTTATTTTCTAGTGCTTTCCTTCCAGAGACAGTTGTAAGCACTGTGTAACTGCCTCGAGGATGCTTGACCATTTTAACACAACGCGGTGCGATCATCCCCCTTGCGCGGAGTGAGGCTTCTCGACCCCGTACAACATGATCTACTCGACCACCATTCATGGTTACCGACAAAAAAAAAACAGAGTTAAAAAAAACAACGGTAACCTGGTTGCCGAGTTCACGAAGTGACTTGGCTTGTTTTACAACGTCGTTGCCAAGCGACGAAAACCCAACCCCGAGGGCAGAACCCCGGGGGGGGGGGGCGTACTCATTTGTTGCTTGCCGTAGTCATTTGACCATTGACCACGCGTCCCTTTCGAGACGGAGCACCGTTCCTACACCTACTAGAGACACCACCAACATTTGGGAGCTCTTTACGTTTCTGCCACAAACTCCATAAAAATTTCTTGCACATCTTATCCCCGTCCTCTAGGGCCTCTTGTGCCCACCATCTATCCCCAATTATCGCGATCGTTTTTTCGCTGTTGTCTAATTTACCAAACTTGTCCATGTCACACCCTCTCTGTCTCATTTCCTCCTCGAGATCCTCTCTTTCCTTCCTGTACAACTCACACTCCCCAACTATGTGGGGTCTACTCTCCTCCGATTTGCCACATGGACATGTGTGTCTATCCTCCTCTTCCTCTCTCCTACGGCTGGTATACCTCTTCCTCCGTTCTGGCAAGTCCAGATCGCCTACTCGAAATTGCAATTTCAGCTTTTTCGCATAGTCCATGGGGCCGTCCAAGTACTTCTTCATCCCTATCCCTTCTTTCAACTTCCCGTATATCTCCAAGTGGTCTTCGCTTCGTACCTTCTTGCGAAGGGTTGTCTCCTCCCTACTCTCTAGCATCTCCTTGACTTTCGTCTTGAACCCCCCGAACCCTTCCGTGTCCAACGTCTCCTCCTCGTCTCCTATCTCCTTCCAAACCTTCTCTACCACCTTGTCCCATCTGATTCCCTTCTTCCCTGGAGTCGCTTTTCCCCAAGCTGCCTCGTCAACCATGGCTGGTAGTCTATCGTCCGACATTCTACTTACCTTTTTTTTTTTTTTTTTTTTTTTGTTGGGGGGGGGGGGGGGGGGGCGAAACCCCA